ATAGCTACTTTCACTTTTATTGAAAAAAAATCAAATCGAATTCTTTTTAATAAAATTCTCTCTCCTTCGCTCTCTCCAGAAGTAAATAAGAGACAGAAGTTAAAATCGGATTTGGAATCGTCTACACAAATTGGCATCTAGAACGTCTCTGGTGTCCTTAACATGGTGAGAGTAGCTCAGAGGAAGCCATCGCAAGGCAGAGACTGTGAATATCGCAGAGCGATAAGGAGGAGCACGGCTTTGGTGTGGGGGCTGAGAAGAACAAAGGAAAGTGTATCACATCTGGTTTCCAGAGCCTCGCCACTCAGAGACTTCTATGAACTCCTGCCGCGCCCTGTTACATCGATTCTGGGAAAACTTTTAATACTTGCTTGCGACCCTCCTACCCGAGTTTCGCTCACTGCGGCGGCATATAAATGGGCGTAAAGGTTGGGATGTGATCCAGTCTCATTGAAATTCTCCCTGAGCCAGGGTGCTGACAAAATTTTTAACGGTTTTCTGATCCTACTAGTCTGACAGAAAGCTAAGCCATACTATAGTTCACAAAAGTTTCCATACGCTTAAAGGACAGACCCTCATACACGACTGTAGGTTGTCGCACGACTTCAGGATCCACGTAACTCACCACTGTGGCGCCCTACCTGACTTCCCGAGCCTTGCGTGACAGGCTACAAAACGGAAGGACTCTGGGTTCAAGAGCCCTCAATATTCACGTGACTGAGAGAGCTGAGTCTCGCGTGATCATAGTGTGATCATAGCCTGGCACATGACCACAGGATATACATGAGCAACAGTGATTGGGTAGTGGGAATGCACACGTGACTGCAAAGGCTTTGCTTGCCATGCGATGGTAGGAGCCACAGAGCTGCTGACATGGATCCACAAAGTCGTAGCTCACGCCCTTCACATGACAGAGACGGCTGAGCATGAGACGTGACCATAGGGGGATTACAGGACCATAGCATTCATATGACCCTAAGAAGCCATTCATTTGTGTGATTTTGAGGGCCGAGGCTTCCACATGCCACTAGCTAATAAGGACCATGTGACAGGAAGAACCACATGATGGTCAGGGTTTAGAAGTCCATCATCCTCTGGTGACTTAAGAGCTGGAACCACCACATGACCATCATTATAACAGGTCCAGAGAGGCCATGTGTGCTCAGGATTTACTAGCTCATGGTGGTGACATGACAGTAGTTCTGGCACTGCCACATAACTGTAGTGTCCACATGATGGCAACATCCATGTGACCTCAGCCTTAGGAATCCACAATGCTTGCAAGCTAGGTCCACTTCGTGACAGCAGGGTTCAATGACAAGTAGAGTTCTCCTGATCTGCATGTTTCAGGAGACCATTTTTTTTCATGAGACCTGGAGATATGAGATTGCCTACATTCCTGGACTTCACAGGGATGGGGGTACCTCTGGGTGACCTACCTAGCACAAAAGCTTGGGCTTCACCTTCCCCTACTTCTTCTATAATGTACTAATTTTGTGGGGTTTTTTTTTATAGTAACACATGAAATTTAATGCATAAATTAATACATAGCAGCAAAATAGGTCCTCTCTCAAACCATAACCATTGCCATATAGTAGGGACTACTTTAAATGCCTAAGCAGTGGGTACAGGTATGTGTTGTTGACTTATTTTCATGCCAGTCCAAACGAAATCTGTTTCTGGGTTCTCTTTCTGATTTATGCTGTTTCAAAGCTCTGTTTTCTTTGTTTATTTTCAAATACTAGGTTAGGGTAGAGTTTCCATTTACTTCATGCCTGCATTTTTCTGGTGTGTTTGCATCCTACAGGTTTTTGCTTCAAAGGTGCTACTCTTAATTTTAGTTTATTTTGCTGTCATAATACTGCCTAGGATCTGCTTTCTCTGGATTCTTGCCCCATCCATTACCATCTGAACTTTCCTTTTCCTTTACCCACAGTGTATCTGCTCTGTTCAATTTGATTTTTGAAGCTAGCAGTTTTTTTTTTAAGTGAGGCAACCCTTGTTTGAACTCAGATTGCAAGGACCTTGTCATCTTACAATCCCTTACTTTTTATTTTCTATGCCTACAGCACCTGGTCTTCCTAGGTGGTCTCCCATCCAAGTACTAACAAGGCCCGACCCTGCTTAGCTTCCAAGATCAGACGGGATTGGGCTTGTTCAGGGTGGCATTGCTACAGATGCAGTTTTCTTTTTGTATGTGAGCTTGTTCTTTTGGAGGAAACTCTATGCTGGATAGTTCTGAAATCTTCAAGGGTTTAGTTCGCCACAGTACTGTTCTGTTGCTGTTTTGTGCAGTTTTTTCCACTCACCTGTAAATCAGAAACTGTGATGAGTTTCAGTTGCTCTCAAACCTATTTTCCCAGTTTAATTAAGAAATAATGAGTTTCATTCATGTTTATGGCAGCACAATTTACAATAGCCAAGATATGGAAGCAACCTAAATGTCCATCAACAGATGATTAGATAAAGAAGTCATGGTTCATATATATGGAATATTACTCGACCATTAAAAACATGAAATTCTACCATTTGCAATAACATGGATGGACCTAGAGGTTATTATGCTGAGTGAAATAAGTCAGACAGAGAAAGATAAATGCCATATGATTTCGCTTATATGCAGAATCTAAGGAACAAAAAGAACAAACTAAACAAAAACAGATTCACAAATATAGAAGACAATCTGGTGATGACCAGAGGGGAGGGAGGTTGGGAGGCTGAGAGAATGGGGTGAAGGGTTAAAGAAGTACAAATTAGTAGTTGATAAGTGGTCATGGGGATGGGGAGCATGGCATAGGGAATGCAGTTATCATTAATGTAATAGCTAGGTGGAAAACCAGAGGAGAGAAGGAGCAATTAGGGGATCATTTTATAAACTATGTAAGTGTCTAACCAATACACTATATACTTGAAACTAATAAAATACAATTAATAATTTTTAAAAATAAAAGTAACCGTGTATTCTTAAAAAAAAAAAAAAGAAATAATGAGTTTGAGATTGGAGTGGTGGAAACAATTATAAAGAAAATTGGACATTAATAGAGATATTTTGGTAAGATGATCAAGGATAGTTGCTTATGGTCTAATGTAGGAGTGTAGAGGTGCTCAAAATGGTGTTTGGCTTGAGCAATTGGGTGATTTTACAGAAATGGGAGAAACTGGGAAATGAATGGTTGGTAATGGCAGAAGCAGGCACTCTATTTGGCTATATTAAGTTTGAAGTATCTATTAGCTAGCCAAATGGATATATCAAAGAAAGTCTTTGAATTGAGGTCTGCTTAGATGTCACTTTACGAAGCCTTTCCTGAATGCCCATATCTCATCCCTTGAAGCATGTTATCCTTGCTACCCACAGCATCCATCATTACTCCTATTGTAGCCTTTATCAGACTTATGATTTACTTTCATGTTTATTGATCCATTTTCTCTGTTAGACTGTGAGCTGTTTGTGGAACATAACCTATGTTCTTTATTTTTTTCTCAAGTTCCTTCCTGGCTCAATGCTGACAGTCAGCTCTTATTTGTTCAGTGCATCCATATAACAAGGTAGTCAATTCCATTTTTTTCTATAGCTCCAATTATTGAAAATCATTCCAAAGTCAGCCAAAATTTGCCTCCTATCTTCTATTCAGTTGAGGACATACCCATGAAGCTAAATGTCATTAATTTACTTGTCTGAATACTGACTTTGATGATCTGCCTTAGGTCATATGTGATTTTATGTCTGGATGAGTGTATTAGTCTTTCAAACTAAGCATGTAATAAAAATCCCAGCACTGTCTTCCCATGTAGTATCTTAAACTACATCTTCTCCAACGTTTTTGTATTGTCTTCCATAGCCAAATGCAGGATTTAATACTTATGCTATTAAATTTCATTTTACTAGATTTAGCAGTCACCTCCAGAAGTAGAGATCATTTTGGATCCTGCATATATATTTAAATATCTTGATTTACACTTTTACTTCTAAGTGCTCAGAGGCAGAAGTTGGGAGCAAAGCTAATGTGCCAAAGTTCAGCTCCAGGTCCTTGTCCCCAGTTTCAAATGGAAAATGATACTTTATGGTTAACAGAAAATATATTTTATAGTAGGCTTGATATAAAGTTTATTTTTGGCCAAAAAAAAATTGTTGTAAAAATTTTAAAAACCACTTTCTAGAGCAAGTCACTGGTGGCTTCCCCAAGAACATAGTCAACACCATACCCATATCCCTCCTCCAACTTGCCACCCAATTTAAATTATTTTGTTTAAAATTTGAATGACTTATGCAGTATTGGTTAAAATCATGTGGTTATTTTAATGAATCATTGATCTATTTAAGTTATTTTGAAATTATCGCAGTAATTTAATATCATAAGTGAATAACATAGTTTGGAATTCCTACCTCCCCACTTTAAACACAAAAATTGACTTCTGAGAAATAATGTCAATTTTAAAAATGCTTAAAATTCATCTTGTCTCACATTTTCTATGAAAAAAAATGTTTTGTTTTTTTTTTTTTGCAAGTTCAGAAAAGACAATTTTCCCTTTTTGTGGCTGACAGTCTTTCTGTTCTACTCTGGTTCTTCTTTCCCCTCTTTTCACCAGTACACCAGATGTGTTAAAAAGAAAGGAAGTGATATTATAGCACCAAATAATCTTATACCAAGTTTCGTAGACTCAAAGTTAATTTTGGGAGCCTCTAACTCCCTTTTGGACTATTTATTCAACCAGGTATAAACCTAACCAATCATATTATGCTTCAGCTCAGATTTACCATCGTATTCAAATTTCAAGGAAAACCAACTATTAAATGCCTTGCCTAAGTGCTGATACATTACCATCTAAATTTATTTACTTTTTTTGATAAAATTAACACATCAGGGGAACACTACAGTCTATTTTTTCCCTATCTCTGATAACTCCATGTTGGATTCATTCTGATGATATTCCCACAAGGTCACACAGCAACTTAATGGTGCAACTGAGACCATATCCTGAGATTTGGATTCCCAGGTTATCATTCTTTCTACTATACCATGGTGATGTTCAAATGCTTACATAAGGTGTTTATCATAAAAGGGGGAGCACTAGAGTAAAAAATAATCAAGATGAAAAAATTAAAATGTAATGCACCCTCACAGCCCTCTCCCACTTATAAATTCTTCCTTCTTCAGTTTCAAGTATATAGTTGGTCATATTTCCTAATTTAAAACTGAGCTCAAGTCTGAATATCAGTTCCTACTAAGCAGGATGCAGAAGAAATAAAATTATTACAACTTTATAATGTGATTTACCCAGAGGTGCAAACTGTTTAATTATTTCCCCTTTAACTCCCCAAATAAAATCATCTTTGGCTGGGAAATGATCATTTACATAAAACAATGTGTAGAAATTAAAACACTTTAATATAATATAAACATTTCCAGAATATAGACTGATTTTGTATCAGTGCTTTTAAAACTATATATCATTTCAGCTTATTATAGTCTGTTTCATTTTCCACTTTCAGAACTAGAAAATACAAAAATACACTGCAAATTAGATTTAACAAACAAAAAAAATCAATCTAAATTGCTTCATATATTTTTCTTGGAGATCAAGAAACATAAATAAACACACAACAATAATAAAATACCACCAACACTAACACAACCCAAACAAGGAATGGATTCTGTAATGCCTGGTAATTATTTCATTTAAAATAAATTAACTCCCATGGGTAAATAATTCACTATCACAGCAATTTGAGGAATAGAAGTAGAGACAACCTCATTAAGGGAAACTACATTATATATAAGAAACATGTAATCTTTCTTTTTTTTTAAAGAAAATGAGGAAAAGTAACTTCAGGAAAATAAATATTGAATACTTTAACTTCACTTGGCTTTTGTTAGAGGTTAAAGTCGCTTTGGAAGATTCAAATAACATGAATTTCTTGAAATCAAACTCTTCAACTTATTTCTTCAATTCAATCTTAAGGGAACAAAACTAAAAAGTTCAAAATCCAAGAGCAGACTCATCTCACTGCATTGATTTTTCTGTCTTTTCTTCAACAGATTTCCTTTTCTCTTATGTTCTTGTTGTGTTCGTAGTTCTTCTTTCTTAGAGGCTAAGTTCAGACTTGTTTCTTCTTTTACTTCAATTTCCATTTTTACATTAAAAACTAAGTTCTCCTCAACTGACACTGACTGTATCCACCTCTCTTTTTCTTCATTTAATGCTCTTTGTCTCAATCAATTTTCTTAACTGATTTCTTCAACTGAGCTTTGGATAAACAATACTAAAAGTTCAAATTCCTAGAACAGACTCATCTCAAAGCACTAACTCTTCTGTCTTCTCAACGGGTTTCCTTTTGTCTTATGTTCTTGCTTTGTTCTTTTGTTCTTTCCCGGAGACTAGGTTAGGCTTGTTTGTTTCTTCTTTTAATTCAATTTCAATTTTTACACACACACACACACATTTTCCTGAACTAATCCTGACTTTATTCACCTCTTTTTTTATTCACTAAATGTTCCATTGTCTAAATCCATATTTTTATAAGATGTCTTCAATTCATCTTCAGGTAAATACAACTAAAAGTTCAAAATCCAAGAATAGACTCATCCCAAAGCATTTCCTCTTCTGTCTTTTCTTCAACAGATTTCTTTTTCTCTTTCCTGTGTTTACGTTCATCTTTTGTAGAGGGTACATCATGGTTTTTTTTCTTTTTTCGGTGCTTAAGCTTTCCTGAACTTACACTGATGTTATCTCCCTCTCTTTTCCTTTGTTCGATACTCTTGTCCTTGTCTAGACTCATATCCCCATAATTCTTTTTCCTTTTATGCTTGGATTGCTCTTTCTCTGGCCTTTCTTTGCCTTCCTCTGAGTGCCTTCTTCTCTTCTGATGTCTCCGTTTATGGCCTGCTTGAGGGTCACTGGTATTGTTTTCTGAGGGGAGGTGATTGTAAACTTCAGATTCTACACTGTATAAGCCAGAGTTATTTTCTTGCTGACTAAGGCTAAGGGGTACTGGTTTTTCTGGGAAATAGTCTCTGTTGAGTTGACAGTCATTCATAGAGTCTAGTTTCTGTTTGCTATCATTAGCTGGTAAGGAATGAGGTAACTGGTTTTCCACTGCCTGTGAAATATTGTATGATTCTGGATAGGTCAGGGAAGTTGTAAATGGGTGTCTTTGCTCAAATGTTCTATGTCTGGGTCTAGAATCAACCATTTCTCTGTACTTATGAGTTTCCACAGAGCTATCACTTATCTTTCTAAAACAAGTCTTTGGCTCTAGTCCTCTGGCTTTCTGCACTTTGATGTAATCTTCAAGTTCATCCTGGAAAGAATCATATGTCCTCTTTGAATAAGTTGGTAACCACTGATGTAACTGGCTTTCCACTGGTGATATATTGTATGGTCGTTGGTAGGTGTAGGAAGTCTCAACTGAAAATCTTTGCTCATACATTCTTTGTCTGGGTCCAGAATCGACTTCTCTGTACCCATGGGTTTCCATAGAGCTCTCTCTTATCTTTCTGAAACAAGTCTTTGGATCTAATCCTCTGGCTTTCTGTACTTTGATGTAATCTTCCAGTTCATCCTGGAAAGAGTCATATGTCTTCTTTGAATAAGCTGGTAAGCAATGAGGTAACTGGTTTTCCACTGTTTGTGAAATATTGTACGATCCTGGGTATGACTGGAATGTCTCACATGGGAATCTTTGTTCAAACATTCTATGTCTGGATCTGGAATCAACCACTTCTTTATAACCATGGGCTTCCACAGAACTCTCTTCCATCTTTCTGAAACAAGCTTTGGGCTCTGGTTCTCTAACTTTCTGCACTTTGATATAATCTGTGCACTCCTCTTGGTAAGAGTCTTGTGTCTTCTTTGAATTCTTCACTAGACTGATAACAGTAGATTCTCTGTAAAAAAAAAGACAGTTGAAAGTTCTTGTTACTAGATTATTTTATTCTGAATATTTTCCTTGCTTTCAAAAAGATTAGTCTGAAAAAAAAACGAATTTTAAAAACCTACCTCAATATAAAAGCTATAAATCATGACTTTTTATGCCACAAATAAGCAGCAGGGATAGTCATATATCTTCTGGGTACCTCACAATTTTTTATATGTAAAAACATTTTCAGGCCTGGGATAAAAGGGAAGATGAAAAGGTGCAAAGAAGCAGATATATCTGATACTGTTGTAGTACTTAAAATATAAGTCATGATGGGATGTGTGGGAAAAAACCAATAATATTTAATGCCCTAAAGATGATCTGATCTGAATGTAACATTTTAAAAAAAGTTTTGATTAGTCAGTTCCTTGTACAGATCTATTAACTGTGATGGCTATTCTGGATCACTGAGATTTTTTTAAATGTCTGGATGAAGGTTAATTTGTTGAGTCAGATAATTTAGCTCCTGAGTATTCGGACTCAATAGTATAAATCTTTTCTACTAGAATACGATAACAGAAATACTATGCTTTGATTTTAAAAGCAACAAACCAAATACACAATAGTTAAGTGTCCTTCCATCCAGCTACCTGACATATCCAGCCCCCAATTATCCACTCGATCGTCTCCTCCTTAAAATAACAGAATAGAATAGAATAGAATAGAATAGAATAGAATAGAATAGAATAGAATAGAATAAACATTTATTGAGCTCTTACTATGTTCCAGTCCAGGCACCTTATGCATATTTTTATATTTCATTATAACCACTTTATATCAGAGCTGTTAAAAGTTACTTACTTGGTTGAAATATAGATCCGGCATTCCAATCCAGATCTAACAGCAAAACCTTTGATCTTAAGCCTTATACTTCACTGGAAGGATGAGGACAGGATCACCGAATCCATGGAACTAAGCCAATTTACCAAGGATTATTTGAATTTGTATAGTTAGTCAGCGAACGATCCTTTAGCATTTCCCCAAAGAAGGACAATGGTGTCTGATAAGGAAGAGTGCCAGTTAACCAGCTCTGCCAGTATACTATCATGGCTAGAGAACTCCCTGGGGGATGCTACTAGCATGCAATATGTTACAAATACCACCAGGATTAACTCATAGGAAAATGAATGCCTAGAAAGTTTGTAAAATATATGCAAAGGTACTTGACAGAAGCCCTGGTCTTTAGTGTCACTGGAGCATTTTTGGGGGGGGGGGGACAAAACCACTTACTTAATTTGATGTTCACTTCCTTGCATATGGGACCGGAACATTTCTAAAGATGTAAAGGTGATATTACAAATATGACAAACGTAGGTTCTTGTACTAAATGCTGAAAAAAACAGAGTTCAAGTAAAGAAAGTAAATATGGATACACTTAGAATCACATAGCTGGACAAGAATTTACTAGAGGTCATCTACTTGAACTTTCCCAATTTAAAGATAAGGCGCGGAGGTCAAATGATTTGGTCTAAGTCACAGAGCCACTTAGTAATAGAAGCAGCCTCTCAGAACCCATGTTACTTAATTTAAAGCCCAGAATTCTTTATACTACACTACACTCTTTTTCTACCCTTGGTCTCTTTCCTAAGAAATTGCCCTCTGCCTGCTTATTGTTGCTACACGGAAATGCATCATGCACCTCAAATTTAGCATGCCCAACCAGCCTTTACCTCTTAACCCTTCAACCAAACTCTTTTTGTTTTTCACTAATTCCCTTTATACCTGAATAAAACCTGAAACATCCCAAAAGATTAAACATAAATAAAAGCAAATTTTTACTCTCTTACCTGAAATCACTGTAGTGCATTAGTTTACCAAAAGTAATTTCCACAGACAGATTTTAGAAAGGAGAGAAGGTTTAGTGAGACCCCCTCTCAGGACAAAAACTGAAAACAAAATTCTAAAACAAAACTACTAGTTACAACTTCAAGAGAGTCAAGAACTATAGAATGGGTATGCTTGCTACCTCGCTATTATGCTTCTTAGGTAGAACTGGAAGCAGGTGATAAATTTATATTTTTTAAACCTCATCATTTTTCCATTTTCTCTTTGGTCAGAAGAAGCAAATTAATAAATTTCATAAGCCAAATATAAAGACAATTCCACCCCTGAAAAGAGGCAATAAGTTGGTGGCTGGAGAGACTTCACAGTCAAGCAAGGTCATCTTTGAAATCTAATAGCTACTTAATCATTTAAAGGATGTTAAAACAATCATTACCAAGTGTATTGACCTTGTCCAAGCAAAGATTAGTCATAGAAACAGGAGACTACTGTCAAAAAGAAAGAAAGATGCTGACTTTGAAGAACATGAAGACTCTTTTTACTCTTGACACATACTCTATGGTGGATCCAGGAGAGCTCAGCAGGTATGTCAAAGTCTGAATGAATGATTCCTCAAAACTATCCTCTCTCCCTGTGCTCTGATTTTGTGCTCACAAAGTCACTTTCTGATTATCATGAGGTTTCCCGTGTTCTTTGATACCCAAATGAGGATACCCTGGAAGATAGATTTATATATATAATCTCCTTCTACCATCAATCAATACCAGAATGACAATGAATTAACTTAAACATCAACATTTCCCAGACTTTTCTAATAAGAATCACCTGGGATATTAGTTAAAAATATAGATCTCCAGGTCCTTCCTCTGGAGAACATGATTCACTGTCTCTGAGGCAAGGAATTTGTATTTTAACAATATAGGTAATGATTATCAGAGAATGTATGAGAAATGTACTAACAGAATACCTTTTGAATTTCTTGCTTATTTATTACCATCTTCCAAGTTTGCCTGCAGTTTGGTGAGTTCCTGATTTGAGGCTGATCAACTGTGAAGATTCTGGACTTCTTGCAAAGCTAAAGACTAAATTCAGGACTCTCCATTCTCATAACAATGCTTTTCAGGAAATTATTACTATCCTTATGCAACAGGTGTGGAAATTAAGGCTCAGATTCGCTTGGCCAATAGCTTACATTTTGAGGGCACTCAAGTTATGAAAAATAAGCAGTAGTCTCAGTTTCCTCTAAATCAGTGGCTCCCAATGCTAGTTAAACATTAAAACTATATGGAGAACTTTAAAAATATTCATGTTATAGCTCCACATCAGCCCAATTAAATCAAAATCTGCAGGGGGTAGAACTAGACTTTCTTACTTTTTGAAAGTGTTCTAGATGATTTTTCTGTGCAGCCATTGTTGAGCACCTAGATTATAAAGCCCTAGATTATAAAGCCAATGATCATCATTATGACTATAAACTCATATTATATTTCAAATGTTTTACACATTTGTTTAGTGGTCATAAAGTATATTGTATATAATGTTCTCTTCAATTCCTCCTTTGTTTTTTCACAAATTACATTAGAAAATTGTAATATAGATAATATAGGGGTTTAAAGGAGTGGCAGGTCACGTATGGAAGATCCAGAGGCAATTCTGGAACTATGGTTTGTTTATTATTACCTTGGCCCTTGTCTTTTTCACACATTAATATTCTTTATCTTTTTCTAGGATAGTGACACCTCAAAAAATAATATATAAACATGGTGTAAACCCTTTCTGTGAAGATATAAAGCCTATTTATTGGTCCCAAGATAAAAATTCCTGGTCTAATTCTCCTGGAACCTCCCTCTACCATGTTTCTTATACTCTCTATCTTCCTACTGGAATCTGTTCCTTGGCCCTGTGTCCTTACTGTCCTCAGCTCTGCTAGGATACCTTGCTTCTGACTTCACCCAGAAACTCAAGCTTCTTTTCATCTTCTACTTTTCAGAACCTCCCATAACCTAACCCTTGTGTGGCCCACATTTATCCTAATCACAGCCCTATCTCATAACAACTTTGACTAAAGTATTTGTTTTCAAAGCATAGATTAGGGAAGTGTATGTCTTTAGAGTTTAACATTGTGTTTCCCAATCTTGGCTCCATATCGTAGTCACTTGGAGAGTTAAAAAAGAGAGAACAAAACACTAAAGTGTAGGTCCCAGGAATTCTAATTTAATTGATTTGAGGGATGGTCTGAGCACTGGGATTTCTAAAAGTTCCCTGCATGATTCTAATATGTAGTCAAGGATGAGAACCATAGATCTAATATCTTAAATGGGAAAAATCAATTGAGAGCTACATGTAAGCTAAAATGCAACTTAATGTGGGATTTATCTTATGAAGAAAAAATTTAAATGTCCAGTTTACCTGTTTTTATATTATGACAGGAAAACGATATTTAAAAGCCTTAACATTTGTTGAGGACTTATTCTGTGATGGGTACAGTATATACTGCTTCATTTCGTCCTTTTTAAATCCTATAAAATAGCCTTATTTTCATTTTACACCTGAGGAACCTGAGTTGCAACTGGGCAAGTGACATCGAACATGTCTCTGAATCTATGTATATCCCTCTACATGACACTGCCTCTCAATAAACAATTTGCAAATATTAATTGAGAAAAACTATATAATTATTACCACATAAAGCACTGAGAAGGATTGTAAAATAAAAGATAATCCCTTGTTTCAAGGAGGCTAACTCAATTAAGGGGCTATAATTAATACAATTATCAATGAACAATAAAGCCTATGAGAAATCAGAGGAAGGAGAGAATACCAAGAGCTAGAACAGTCAGAGAAGTTGCAATAGATCTTGGAGGGCAAGAAGGATTTGAATTGTAAGAAAAGTAGATAAGGGCATTCCAGGGAATGAAAACAGTATCAGGTATGGCAGAGACAGAAATGAGCATGACATGTTGAATTCAAATAATCTGTTCAACAAACACCGAGCACCTATGTGGCAGCATCATGCTGGATGCTAAGGGTACAAGAAGAATAAAATGGGCAGGTTGGTCACAAATCCGAGTGTGAAACAGACATGAACAGAGAATTTCAATTTCATTTGGTAAAAGTTAAGAGAGGTATGCTTAAGGGGTATGGGAGCTCAAAGAAGCAGAGGCACTGAGCACAGTATGGGAGTCTGAGAGGGCTACTGGAAGAGATGATAACTTAGTTAAACCTGGAAGGATGAAAAATAGCTGAATCGATGAAAGAAGTTGAGAAGACTATTGCAGGCAAAGGAAAACACATAAAAAAGTGAAAGTGTTTACAGGAACTTCTCAAAATTTGCAATTGTTGTAGAATAAAATATAAGGGGACAAGATGGGAGAGGCAAGAGGAGTATCAGATCAAAGAGAGACTTATATGTTATGCTAAGGAGCCTAGACTTTTTATTTTGTCTATTGGGAAACTTGAAGTGGTTTCAAGGAGTAAGTGACATGGTCAACTGAGTGTTTTAGAGAAATCTCTCCTCTAGCTGCAATATGGATGATTTTGAGAGGAGCAAGCCTGGAAGTAAGGAGACCAAAGTTATGTAAATATAGTAGACCAGGCAAGATATAAGGAGGGCATGGGCTAGAAAATTCACAGTCGGGATACAGAGGAACAGGGAGATTGATGAAATATTTAGCATTAGAACTAGCAAAACTTAGTGACTAACTGAATGTGGGAGATAAAGGAAAAGGAGGAATATAGAGGAATTTAAATTTACTCTCAGCATCTTCATTTGGCAACTGAGGGGTGGTGATCCTGTTAACTAAAATTGCAGCTTCAGAAGGAAGTGTTGTCTTAGGACGTGGAAAAATAAGCAATGGTGAGTTTGAGTTTGGACACACAGAATCCGAGATAGCCATGATATTTCCATGTAAAGATGTCCAATAGGCTGTTAGATATAGGAGTTTCAAAGGCAGAAGACAGGTCAGAGTGATTTTGGAGAAGTCAGAGCAAGGGGATAGTTAAAACAATCAAAGTAGATGAGATCTCCTGAGGACAATGTATGGGTGGGCACAGGGATACGACATAATGATAAAACCCTGGAAAGTGCCACTCTTTATACTAAGATGGCAGAGAAGGAAGGGGCCATGAAAAGGACACAAAGTAAAAACAGAGCTATAAGAATGAACAGGAGAGAGTGATGTCAAAGGAGCTAAGGAAGTAGAGATTTTTAAAAGAGGAATGATTAGTGAAGGGAGTAAAGCTGTCCATTAGATTTAGAAATTTAGAAGTCACTATGACCCTATAATAGTTTCAGTGGAATGGTGGAATAGTGGTGTGGAGGGCTGGGGGAATATGTGTCAACAAATGGCAGTGAGTTAAGGAGTAACACTGAGGACTGTAAGAGTACATGTATTTGAAAACAACAACAACAAACGATTTGGATAAGAAAGGAAGGGTAAACTGTAGCAGTTAAAGGGGAACTCATGATTAACGGGTGATTTGGTTAAGTCAAGATATTTGGTAATACACATTTGATGGTCAGTTTTTTCTTGATGAAATAAGGAATAA